CCACGCCCCGTGTCGCCGGCCTCGCCGCCGTGGGCCTGTCATGTGACGGGCAGCTGCCGAGCAGATCTGGGAGCTGCTTTTCCGTGGGGCCATGGGGGAGCGGCGAGGCTGCTGTCATGGGACGTGGACAGGAGTCACTTTCTGTTTGCAGCATAGAAGTGGGGGCTGCTTGACTGCTCCCCCCCCCCAGAACCCTGCATCCCTGGTGCGTTTAGTTCCTGGGAAGGGCTGCGGGCGGGTGCGCAGACTCACCGTCCTCGTGGGAATTGTGTTCAGTGTTTGCTAGGTTGGGTGTGAGTGCTACGGCCCTGTGTGGCTCTGTGGTAACCCCGTGTGCCTGCCTCAGTTTCCCTAGGCACTGCCCCGGTGCCCGGCTGGGGATGGTGGGGGTGGCTCTCATGGCGGGGAGGCTGCCCCAAGCTGCGCCATCTCAGCCCGTCCACAGCAATAGCCCAGGCTGCCGGGGTTGGAAATTCACTGGGTGACACCTCTGAAGCGAGGGGGAGGGGCTGCCTGCAGGGCTGGGGTGGCTGGCTTAGGATGCAAGGAGGGGGCCCAAGGTGCTGGCTCTGGGCCTCCCTCTCCTCAAGATGGCTGCTCCTGGTTCTTATGCTAACAAGTCTGTTCTACGCTGTGTCCCTGGGACCCAACGACCCTTCTCTTCTACCTGCCGCCTGAGAGTCCCCTCTGACTGCAGGTGGGGGCAGGGTCTGGGAACCCCCCCCCCCACACACAGTCTCACCCCATGGCATCCTTGTGTTCAGCGTTTAGTTTGTTTACTGAACGCTGAGGACAAAGGGCCTCCGAGGGGGAGGGGCTGCCTGCAGGGCTGGGGCTGGCTGCTGGGGGGTGAGCCCTCTCCCCTGGCCGAAGGTGCAGGGAGGGGTCCAGGATGCTGGCTCTGGTGACCCCCTCTGCAGGCTGGGCCGGCTGCGCCTGGCTCCTGTAACAACAAGTCTGTTCTACGCTGTGTCCCTGGGACCCAACGACCCTTCTCTTCTACCTGCCGCCTGAGAGTCCCCTCTGACTGCAGGTGGGGGCAGGGGCTGGGAACCCCCCC